GCACGCATGTCCAATAGATGGCTTTACTGCTCGACACTGACATGAGGTAATGCTGGATATGCCGACATGCTTTACGATTAGAGATTTGTGCATGTACAGTGGGGGAAAAAAGTATTTAGTCAGCCACCAATTGTGCAAGTTCTCCCACTTAAAAAGATGAGAGAGGCCTGTAATTTTCATCCTAGGTATACCTCAACTATGAGAGACAGAATGAGACAAAAAATCCAGAAAATCACATTGTCTGACTTTTAAAGAATTTATTTGCAAATTATGGTGGAAAATAAGTATTTGGTCAATAACAAAAGTTCATCTCAATACTTTGTTATATACCCTTTGTTGGCAATGACAGAGGTCAAACGTGTTCTGTAAGTCTTCACAAGGTTTTCACACACTGTTGCTTGTATTTTGGCCCATTACTCCATGCAGATCTCCTCTAGAGCAGTGATGTTTTGGGGCTGTCGCTGGGCAACACGGACTTTCAACTCCCTCCAAAGATTTTCTATGGGGTTGAGATCTGGAGACTGGCTAGGCCACTCCAGGACCCTGAAATGCTTCTTACGAAGCCACTCCTTTGTTGCCCGGGTGGTGTGTTTGGGATCATTGTCATGCTGAAAGACCCAGCCACGTTTCATCTTCAATGCCCTTGCTGATGGAAGGAGGTTGTCACTCAAAATCTCACGATACATGGCCCCATTCATTCTTTCCTTTACACAGATCAGTCGTCCTGGTCCCTTTGCAGAAAAACAGCCCCAAAGCATGATGTTTCCACCCCCATGTTTCACAGTATGGTGTTCTTTGGATGCAACGCAGCATTCTTTCTCCTCCAAACACGTCTAGTTGAGTTTTTACCAAAAAGTTCTATTTTGGTTTCATCTGACCATATGACATTCTCCCAATCCTCTTCTGGATCATCTAAATGCTCTCTAGCAAACTTCAGACGGGCCTGGACATGTACTGTCTTAAGCAGGGGGACACGTCTGGCACTGCAGGATTTGAGTCCCTGGCAAAGTAATGTGTTACTGATGGTAGCCTTTGTTACTTTGGTCCCAGCTCTCTGCAGGTCATTGACTAGGTCCCCCCGTGTGGTTCTGGGATTTTTGCTCACCGTTCTTGTGATCATTTTGACCCCACGGGGTGAGATCTTGCGTGGAGCCCCAGATCGAGGGAGATTATCAGTGGTCTTGTATGTCTTCCATTTTCTAATAATTGCTCCCACAGTTGATTTCAAGCTGCTTACCTATTGCAGATGCAGTCTTCCCAGCCTGGTGCAGGTCTACAATTTTGTTTCTGGTGTCCTTTGACAGCTCTTTTGGTCTTGGCCATAGTGAAGTTTGGAGTGTGACTGTTTGAGGTTGTGGACAGGTGTCTTTTATACTGATAACGAGTTCAAACAGGTGCCATTAATACAGTTAACAAGTGGAGGACAGAGGAGGCTCTTAAAGAAGAAGTTACAGGTCTGTGAGAGCCAGAAATCTTGTTTGTTTGTAGGTGACCAAATACTTATTTTACAGAGGAATTGACCAATTAATTCATTAAAAATCCTACAATGTGATTTCCTGGATTATTTCCCCCCATTCTGTCTCTCATAGTTGAAGTGTACCTAGGATGAAAATGACAGGCCTCTCATCTTTTTAAGTGGGAGAACTTGCACAATTGGTGGCTGACTAAATACTTTTTTGCCCCACTGTATGTTGCACAATACACATTATGTGTTGCTGATTAAAGCTATGCCCTGGATTCTTCTGTGAGTGGACTCTATAATTATCAATGACGGTCCATCGCCATCCAGAAATAAGTCATTAGAATGTGTAGCTATTGATAACATATACAGCTGCTAGCATAATAGTAAAATAAGAAGGCGTAAGTAAAAACTGATATGTAAACATTTGCTATTTATTAAACACTTAAAGGTGGGGTATGTAATTTATTTCAGAAACACTTTTTGTGATATTCCATGGAATGCTCTTAACATCCCGATAGCAATGAATATATTAAATGCTTTGACAATAAATACATAAAGAAATGTCATCTGTGGAAGCCGTGGTGCTGTAAAAAGCACGACCAATCATTTTAGCCGGATGGCCTACCTGCCTGTCAGCCTTCCATCTGTGCACACACTTATCTCGTGCCCTCATTGGTCATGTGCGCGTTTGTGTGTGTTGGAGGAGGGGCTCTGTAAGGAAGTCTGAAGGAAGAGGCAAATGTTTTCTGGTTGTGTACTTTCAAATTCTAGCGCACTCGAGCTGGTTTCTCCAAAATGACATACCCCACCTTTAAGAGTAGCATGAGCACTCTGTGTGAACAATCATTACTTATATATTTATTCATACATTTTCGGAGACCAACAACTTACTGTAGCAATTCAAAAATGTGTGTCTTGTTTCTGTTGTGCTATGTAAATGTTTGGTAGCCTACTTGGTTTGTCATCACCTTGATTTGTGCAATATAACAGAAATAGACTACAAATACAGTGTTTTTAGGCTCTGTGAACGTGTCGTTATTGCACAGTTCAACTGTAACATCACTTTCGCTTGTGATAGAGTATATTTTGCGGGAAGATGCAATAAACTTTTAATATTAATAGAAATAGAACTCAAGTCTATAAGTCTGTATCTTCTGTATGATTTGTAAATGTAACTGTTGGTTACTTTTGAGCCATACACATGTTCCTGGCCGGATGTTTTGCTCGCATGCTGGATGCCTCACAACATGTGGACCCCACAGACGTCACATGACACGAATGATTTAAATATCGAGCAAAGTGATTTGCTAATAGTAATTCAGAGAATGTAAATGCTGTTACCATGATGATGATGATGATGATGATGGTATCACCAGAAGCCGTTGTTGGGGTAGTGACCATGTGTTAGATCATATCCATGTCCAGCTGAGCTTTTTTGCTCACGTGAGGTGAGAGGATTGAGCCTGGGATTGTACGGGGATTAGTCAGCAGGACTTAGATTTAGAGATTCAGAATCTAAGGGACAGGAGTCTCACAGCTGCAGGGTCATTTAGTTCCAAGAAGAAATAAGAAAACACTGCAGCAATTATAAAAGTAAAAAAATAAGTGTATGTTCATCTATCTGGCTTAATATCTCCCACACATGCACTTTTCTCTTCATCTGTTCGTCTGCCCCACCGGCACAGCGAATCACTTCATTCTGCTGCCTCTGCACGCTTTCAGTCAGGAAAAGAAGGAAGGCGTGTCTGGCGGAGCAGATGTGGAGATTTCAGCTGCCTGTTTATGGATCACAACTCTCCCTCTCTCGGTGTATTCCCCTCTATCCAAACATCCACTCTGTCTATCATTGGAGCACATGAGGGACACTTTTCATGGTTTTCTCTACCATAGGAGGATTTTATTGGAAAGAATTTTCTTTTTTTCTTATGAGTTTTTTTTAAACCAAGCTTCAAACTGGAGACACTAGTAGACACCGACTGCTGGGATCAGGTGATCCAGCTTCAGCTGTCGGGTTCGGGTGACTGGGCACCCTGTGAGTTGGACATCATCATTTTGTTTTCTTTAATATGTTATTTTATCAACCCTCTCTTTTTGCCCATCTAGTCGATGTGAAAACAATTGTTGTTGTATTGCTGAACTTGTGTCTGGAGAAACATTGTTGATAACTCGTTTTTTTTTCTGGGAAATTCCATGTTTAATGCAGACCGGTAATGTATTATGGAAAAGCAACATTGTAATTTTTAGTGGTTGAACTTTGTATAAAGTCATCATAGGAGTATTATAAGATACAGCACAACATGTGCAATGATGCCTATATGAAACCTGCTAATAAGTACTGTATCTCCTTATTGGTGAATTTCAACTCCTCAGAAGGATGCAGTTAAGAAACTTAAACTTCTAATGCATGGGCATACAGCTGTAAACAGTGCTGTTTTTTAAACTGGGGAATCAGGAGGAGAATCATATAATATGATATTTACCTTTAATTCTGAAGAAAATGTTTTCACTCTGCTTTTGTCTGATTCCATATGTGATTTTTGCCTTGTCTTCGTTCAGGTAGCTTGATGTACAGAATCTACAAGGAAAACACACAACGAGGTTGTTGCTGATTATAAAGGAGCCTAAAAGATTATATCTGCTGAGGTCACAGTTTTTTAATTGTTAAATCCCAGCAGCAAAGTTAGCTGGCTAAGTGATTCAATATCTGCAAGGTTATCAAAATGTATTATGCAATTTGTAATGTGAAAAATCAAATAACTAATTGAATTAATTGTTTTCCCAGCAAAATAACCAAAAACATCCTGTCGTTCTAATTTCTCAACCGTGAGAATTTGTTGCCTTTCTCTGTTTTATATCATTTCAAACTTAATGTCTTTTTCGGACAAAACCAGATGTTTGAAAACATCAAATCAGGCTTTAGGAAATTGTTTTAGGCCTTTTCTATCTTGCTATTTTCAGGGATTTTACACTGAGAAAATTATCATCTGATTATTTAATAATCCAAATAACGCTAGGCATGCAAAGACAGGAAACAAGAAGGATGATTTCATCTTCTTATTATAGACACATGCATTTCCAAACATTTGGTCTTTCCAAATATTTGGTCTACCTATGCTGTACAATGTATTATCTCTTCGATTGACACACGGTTTCTCCCATTTTTCCCTTTAAACTGTGGGTTTTCTCTGGAAGTTTTTCCTTGTACGATGTGAGGGTCTAAGGACAGAGGGTGTCGTATTGTCATACTGATATTCTGTATAAACTGTGAAGACCACTGAGACAAATGTAACATGTGATATTGGGCTATATAAATAAACATTGATTGATTGATTGATTGATGAAATAAAACAAACTATCAATATCACATAACACAAAGAAGCCTTTTTATTCATGGGATTGAAGCATGAAACAGGATGAAAATAGATATTAACACCTATTTTAGATTTGCTAGCTGCCCCAAATCATAAAAACAACATCATCTGCTGAGCCTCTGCTAAATGTCACAAGTGACAAAGTGTTTCCTGTGTTATTGTTCCAGGTGACACCAAGGATGTGGAGATCCCCAGAAGAGACCTGGAGGTGGTCAGGGGCCATATGGTGATGTTAGAGGCCTGGTACAGCCCCCTCTCAGACATCAACAAAAACTCTGTCGTGTGGCTCTTAGAGGGGAAAGAATCAAAGCCGGTGAGAAGGTCAAAATGCAATCTGCAATGATCTGACGTATAGTTGACCGTGCTCTGACCTCTCCTTGTGTATACAAAGTAGAACTTCTTAAAATGGATTACATTAAATTCAGTCTGATTGCCGATGCTACTCCTTTTATTCCAGCAAGTTGCATTAGCTCTCTGGTTCCAGATTTTCCAATTTGTGAAATTTCAGATTTGTTCTGTTTCCTATACATTTATTTTTGAAATATTAACAGTTTAGATAAAACATGAAGACGACAAACGTAATTATGGTTTTTGTTCATGTTATTATTATACAAATACAAAATGAATATCTGGCATTGTCAGTACTTGGCTTCTGTCACCTCAGAATATTATGTGACAGGAACATTGCCTGTTTTGTACTGCATGACATTTATATTATATGTTGGGAAATCCATCCAGTAATATGTAATATGATCTATAGAGATTAGGATTATTGCCAACACCACTGCGGATGTGTAGTGGAAGGAAAGATGGCTGTTATTACGAAAGGATGCCACTAATGACATTTTATCTCTACTTTTTTGCTGCACCTCCTATATATGGCACGAACCGCATTTCAAATAGCTCATAGCTGTCCTCTGTGTGTATGTGTCTGTGCACGATCTTTGCATGATTAATATAATCTAAACAGTGTCCGGTGCCTGCGAGCTTATCTCTAACAGAAAATCTGCCTAAAATTCGACACCAACCATCTGTACATGTCAGGATTATCTTTATGAAGGATGTTGATTTGTGTTATATAGTTAATCTGCACATATAGATATATATATATATATATATATATATATATATATATATATATATATATATATATATATATATAGATATATATATATATATATATATATGGCCAGAGCCAATACAATTATAAAGTTTCACCCCGATGACCAGAAATAAAAGTGACCATAGTAACTCATTTTCAAAAAAGGATTGTATTTCAGGAAAAAAAGTAGCAGACTCAGAATTGTATTCTAAGAATGTACAAAATGCTGCATTGTTCAGTGTTGCTTTGTTTTTCTTCCGGTTAAGGTAATAACCTTTAGCTCAGGCGAGATAGGGTACGGTCAGAACGAGTTCACCAAGAGAGTGGGCTTCAGTGCGCCCATGCCCTCCGCCAACCTCTCCATCTACATCAACAACACCCAGGAGACTGACTCCGGGTCCTACGCCTGCACTGTCATCATCCCTGGAAGTGCTGTCATTTTGGGAAAGGTGCGCCTTAATGTCAAAGGTAATGAACCGCAGCATCAAAGGAGAATATCAAAGGTTAGATTTAATCGCTCTGCCACACAGCTCACACATTTCCTCGGAAATCAAATGCTGAACACGTTTTGAAGGATTTCAGATCTGACCGGTGTCTAATAAGTCCTATATTTATGTGAAAGCACTGTCCAAATGGAAATCATCTGCCACTTGCCTCTGAGGCCATGATGTCATCCTCCAGCAGCAGATTGAAACAACAGGGATTAAAACATTTACTTAATTTATGCAATAATGCTACTCCCTGTGAAACCTCCACTTTGTTGGCTGTGGATTAAAGCCTAACGTACAAGTTCAATATAAGGTCATTGTTACCGTATTCCTAGCTTAACCTCTTGCACTACATCTGTGTGTCTGTCTGCAGTCCCTCCTTCCCCCCCGCTGTGCACCCTGATGGGGAACCCAGTGATGAAGGGCAACGTGACTCTGAGCTGTCAGTCCAGTCAGGGAAAACCTGTCCCTCAGTACAAATGGACCAAAGCTGCACCCACGTCCGAGGTGTTTTTTTCCCCCATGCAGAGTGAGTATTCTCTCGGCACATAACAAGGATTTTAATGACTATACTTTAACTGTCAGTTCATTTGAAAGAAAACACATTTACAAACTGTACTGTACCTCATGTAGAATCTTTTGACAGATAGTTTTATTTTGTTGCCGATTGCAGCTTTCAAAAAGGTAATTCAACAACTTTCTTATGGGTTCTATGATAGAAACACAAAAATGTCTCGCCTCAATCGCAACATTACCAGACTTTAACAGCAATTAAGCTAAACGAGTAAAAAGGAGAGGCTTTCTTTTCGGTGAAGGATTTGGGGTTATATTTAGTTGAAGAACACAGGAACAGGAACACAGTTCATTTAAGCTAATATTTCATTTAGATTTTATTTGGAAAATGCTAGAGTTGAGCATTAAGCAATGATAAAAAGTATGAAGATACACATTTTTATCATCTATTTTTTGGTTAAAGGAAAGCTTTCACACAACTGAGACAAATCTTACACTCGCTTATCACGTCATATTTAGACATCCTTGTAAAAAACCACCTGTTATTTTGGAGGGAATACATTGTATATATAAATAGATATACTGTTTATGTGCTTGTGTCACACAGATGCAAAAATGGTAAAGGAATCATTGAAGTACAAATCTGAATCCCCCTCCTGCTGCCCCTAACACCTTGCATGCAGCAGGTCACATACAGCATCATAAGTCCAGGTGCAGATTGTAGGATAACGCGTAGGTGCTAAAGATGTAGCTAAGATCTTTCAATCGCACAATAACATGCAGCATGAATCCTCTTAACCGATATAAACATATTCCTCTCGCAGCTCTGTCCATGCAAGAATAAAAAATGCATTTGTAGATATGCTACAGAAAGAGCACCATCTGTTTCTGACTTAGGCTGATTGATTGAGTATTGACTTAACTGCTTTGATCTTCGGCCCTCATCTCTTTATAGAACAAAGGTCCTCAGACTGGAAAAATGAAAAACTACTCTGTCCGATTGTGCATAGACTAATGGTTTTGTAGATCAGCGTGCCGGCATCACATGTTTGTCCGCACCCTCTTACATCAACACAGAAACCCATCTTTGTATCTGCGCTGATGTATGCTCTCTCTATGACTCTCCATGACTCTTGAACTCTGCTATCATCACTGCTTATCTCTTTCAGCAATCTCTTTCTCTCTCTCTCTGTCTGTGTTTTCTCTCTCTGCTGATCCTCCTCATTTCCTGTTAACCTTGGTGCCTAATCTAACAAGCCCCATGTCATTACTTGATCCACCCCTCTAAGAGGCATAAGTTGGATTTGGGACTGCACTCCCGTCCCCTCCCCATCAGTTTGTACCATTCCCTCCCGACCTCTCATTGCTCACTCTCTCTTTCTGCCATCTTTCTTTCTGCAAAAAAAAAAAACCACACAAAAAACAGAATGGAGAGTCTGTCCCCAGCCCATATTTGTCCTTGGGTTCATTGGTAAGGGTTATCACTCATACATGTTCCATTTATTTCCCGAGCTCCCATCCACATCCTCACCTGCAAACCGTGTCAACATGTCTCTCCTCAAATCCCAGCCCTTAAGCTGTAGGAGAAGCTTTAAAGTAAAACAAATCAACCCAGTTTGTATAAATGCTTATATGATTATTTGTAGTAAATGGAAACCATCAAAAAGTAAAAGGCTTAGCATTCATGTAGGTGTCTAGCCAGTAATAATCCCACTTAACCTTTAAAAAATCGAATTTTTGATTAAATCATCTAAATATTTGGATGTCAGTGAATATGTTTGTTGTGATATAAGCAGCTGTTTCATATTGGAATATGTTCCTGAATATATCCATGATGAGGGTTTTCATGAGACTTTTTGCATATATTTCCATTGTTATCTATTTACTTATTTGTAAAATAAGGGTTGAATTTGTTCTTTAAATCTTTGCAGTGTGTATGATGTTTAATATGTAGCTGTCATCCTGTTGCACTCATTGAGATTCTTTACCATGTTTTATGAACATATCCCTGAGTCCAAAGTAGGAGGAAAATAATAAGATGATCTGTGAGAGAAAATATAAATTTCAAGGAGTGGTATGACATTTTGAAAAATAGGATAATTTCTTGCTGAGGCTGAACTGGGTTGAGAATATCACGTCATGTTTGTACAGTAAATATGCAGCTAGCTTAATAAATAGCAGAGAGTAAATTACAATAATTGGTTGTGCATTAGCTTTATGATTTATTTAGATTTTTGTGTATGGTCTCTCACATCAATTGTGAACTAATCCTCTGCAGCTTGTCATGTGTAGTGGCCGGCTGTACTGTACCATGATGAGCCTCATTATACATTAATCACTTGTCATGTGTCGGGGCTTTGACAAATGCGGCCCGGTGACCTTGCAGTGACGGCTGTGCAATATGAGTAATGCCCTTGTCTTGATATGAGGCACCACCTCTCAGATCTGCCGCTGGGATGTGATCACGCTGCAGGCTTGAACTCGATCCAAACTCCAGGTCAGCTGGTGTTCTGCTTATCTGTCACAATTGGGTCTGGTTCTCCGCAGCTGGTTTCCAAGCCAGCGGATTCAATAATCAGAGAGGGATAAGTGCATATCACATTTAATAAAGTTACCAATAAAGCTATGTTGTGTGATTTCAGGGAACTCACAATTCAGCAAACTACTTACAAGCAGCAGTACAACATGTCTGTCTTTTTCATTCAGTTACACTTGGGGAGGGATTTTCTGTGCTTCTACTGTTGGCAGTGGTTTGCGTGCACCTGCCTGCATTCACCTCCTGGTGGTGCAGTGGCAGATGGTGCAAAAATAACACAAAGCTCATTCAGGACGCCCAAACTTTAGGAGGAAGGCAGCTGTTTAGATTGATGACTGAAAATTAAGGATTTTCTGGTTTCTCTCACATTAAAATGCTGCTTGCTGGCATAATGCGGAACCTTGACGTTCAGAGTCCCTGTGTTGCATTGCTTCCTCTCTGTGGGGATTGACGAGCATTCCGGAACACTTATAAAACACCCACCGGAACAACACTTTAGGACTAACACCCACTGTCATTTCCTCACGTTCCACACGAAAGCAAAAAAGCATCAGATAAAGAATGTGACGTATAAGATTGGATTTCAGAGGATTTTATGTGATAAGTCCCTCATAAAGCGTGTTTATTTTCTTACAGTCCATGTTTGCTACAACACAGCGCTTTAAGCCAGATGTGTGAAGAAGAACAGATTGTGTTGAAAGGAAATACCCAGTTATGAAAGCACTGAGAGGGATACACACACGCTTACAGCTGTGTGATAACCTCAGTGTGAGAACTTACTAAACCTAAAAATCTGCTGAAAAAAACATCATCATGTAGCAACACTGCATTATCCTCTGCAGAGCTCTCTGCTGAGTGATACAACATAAATAAACCATATGCTGTAGGGACTGGAAGTGGGCCAATAGTGGATTCAATGTTGCGTTGTGAATGGAATCAGTAAATAATGATTCAACACCACCATGATATGTTGTTGCACAGAGAGGGTATCACACATTGTCAGCATATCTCTGTTAAACAATACATAATTCGGTCGTAAATTAAGAGGAAAATATAACACTTTTTCAATAAGTGAATCTGGAATCAGTGTATGTATTTCATGCATTGTAAAACACAGTTCACAGCCACATTTATATCACGTTATCCATGTATTTATGGTCAATGATGGAAGGTTTATGTCCCTTATGTACATGATCTATGATAGATTTTAATAAGGACATGTCCCTATACAGTTCGTTCTCGCAGTAAAGTTGTGTTTGTTACTCTATAATTGTAGTTCCCTAGTGTGTGATACTGTGGTATAACAATTTCATGTCGACCTGTATAGTTTTCTAGTTGTACCAAGCCTACTTGCACGGATTACATAAATATATGATCGCTACGTGTATGTAACCCATCTTTGCAGATGAGAGACACGGCACCCTCAGGCTGAGCAACCTCACTAAAAGCATGTCAGGGAAATACATCTGCAGAGCCATCAACACGGCGGGCTCCGACAGCTGCTCCATTAACCTGGAGGTTATCACCTGTACGTACAGAACACAGTATGCCTACTACACCACACACCAGGCACTGTGTGTCTGAACACTGATCTGTCATCTGTTTCCCAGCTTCCAATGCAGGAATGATTGCAGCTGCTACACTGGGGTCCATAGTGGGACTGGTGGCCATGGTGCTCTTCCTCATATTCATACTGAAAAGGAGAAAGGACACTGAGGAGGAGATGGCCAACGAGATCAAGTGAGACATTTAATACAGCATGTAGTGGTTCACATGTACAAGCTGAAGCTATCCATTACAACACCCCCTTTATACATTCCTCATACAGAAAGTGTATATGCTTTGTACTATACTTTTTTTTACATGCAATAAGGAAGGAAGAGGCTGTACTCATATTCAATATTTTTATTAATTTAACCACTAAATAATTAAGTAGGGCGAGCACTTCCTTTTCCTTGCCTTTTTCCAAAAGCAACATCAGTCTATGCCTCTGCATCTTAATAATTATGACATTGAGTTTATGTGAGTAAATGCAATGCTTTATTCTGGATTCTACTTGAATTTCTATTGCACTGTGTTTCAAAAGGATATGATCAAATATTTGACACGACTATTCTAATCTGGAATCTACAGTCATATCATCAAATAAGATTTAATGTACAAAAAGTGCTTATATAAGTTGCTCCACCATGACCAGCTAAACATAAAATACCATGTTAATCATTTTTACACTATAGGTTTATAATATTATAACACTAAAGCCTCCTAATAAGTACTTTGCTTCTAATAGCTCATTTTGATATCAATGCATTTACAATTAAATGTATATTTTGTTACTTTAATATTATTAAAAGTGAAATTTCACTCAATGTTTGTATTTGCAATAAATGCTGTCTCAGAAGATATAGGTCATCTATATTTTCGCAATACACACAGTTTTGCCAGTACTCAGAAAACAGTGAAGCTGAATGTGTGTTGCCCTATTTCCTGCCTGTCATTTTTGATACTAGTAATTCTAATAATTATGAGTTTTTGCTTTCTCTGCGTTCCTCTCTTCTTTCTTCCTGTTACAGGGAGGATGCTCAGGCACCAAAGAGAGTATCATGGGCGAAGAGTAACACCGGCTCTGACATCATATCCAAGAACGGCACGCTGTCCTCCATAGCCACCAGTCCTCGCCCCCGAGACCCCCGCCATCCTAACTACAACTACCCATACTCCCCGGCGTCCACATCAGACACCGGCTCAGTTATCCACGCCTACCAGCTGCGACCTGGAGAAGCCAACACACTGCAGGGTCTCCCGGGGTACAACAATGGAGGAACCCCACGCAAACATAAGAGACCCTGCAGCACAAATGGGGACCCTGCGCAGCTTCTGAGGAGCCCTGCGGTCGCCAACAGGACTGAGGGGGCTCAGCCTCAGGTGCCCCCTCCCCTCGCTGTGTCCCCACAAATGAGCTGCTCCACTCTGACACGCCTGGGCTCTGTAGCCATCATGGTGCCCCCGCAGAGCCAGGCCGGGTCGCTGGTGTAGGCCGGCCGGAGGACAGGGGTTAGGGGGGAGAGAAAGTATGCCTTGAAACTCAAAAGCACTTTCTCTGTGAAGACTTATAAGGATGTGAGAGAAGAAAACGTCCCTTTGGTTGTTCATTTCTTTTTGTAAGAAATATATTTTTTATTTACTCTTATTAAGAGAACTTTAATGATACCCAGTAGCATTAGGATTTGTAGGCAGTGAACATAAAAGGTCAATGTTTTCAAGAGTTGTTGACTTACTACAGTTTATGGATACTGTAAACCATGTTTCAGTTCATTTGGCAGTTTGCTTAGTTTTGCAGTTCTTGCTAAATATATGCTGGCCAAATTTGTGTAATAACTGTAGCCATACAAGTGTATGATTTCATTTCTACAGCTGTGTAAAGATGCATTTTCAGTCCCTTCTCTCAGGCTAAAGGCACTATGTCAAAATCACAATTCAGGTATTTCAAATGTATCATTCTTGCTTTCTTTGAACCACATGTACGTGTTAAGTGTTCACGTAAGTGTTGTTTTATTTAACCTACTGCAATATCAGTATGGTTCAATGACACTGATGTCTGCTGGGAGGACATTTTTTTATTTGCCTGTTATGGTAGTTGGAATGTTACCAAAATAGTGAGTACAACATGTTGATGGTTTCTTACTATTCTGTTCAAAGGTGTTTGTTTTAACTTGATATAATTACTGTAAACACACAAGGCCATCAGTCAGTGAGATAATATGACCAAACTTCCGGCTGTTGTTCTTGTTTGTTTTCTTGTAAGTATAATGTAGCTCTGAAAAAAGATGTGGCACTAAGCTATGCTGAGGGTTACATGTAGCACTTTTACTGCAGTTTTGATTGTTGGTCATTTTTTTTCAATAAAGTGTTCTGGAGTGTTTCATTTCAGCATGACTCATTATCACTTTACCTATAAATATATTTTTACTCAAGCAAAATAAATCACGTTTAAGGATAGGAAATGTAAATAATTCCTAGTTAAGTGTGCCAATAAAAAGGCTGATTCCTTTTTCTGTAAACTGAGATTATTTTATTTGGAGTGTAATCAGACATAATTTGAAATGTGACAAATACATAACCCATAATACCCAACCCACAGTGGCATTTCAAACGTCATGGATGGGTAACAATTCAGTAACCTTGACTATAAAGGAGATCTAAAAGGCCACTTAAGGCACAGAGATGCTGAGACTGCAAGTGATATACAGTGGAAAAAAAACACAAATCAAAACATCTCGTCACAAATTGTGTGAATCTGTAGTAAGGAGCAGTTTTTTTTTTTTTTTATATTAAAGAAAAACAAGATTACAATATATCCACACTAGCAGAAAATATTTCGGTTAAAAATCAAAACAAAACAATTTTTTTAACTATTCTTAGAACATTACATCTACTAGAGGTGGTGCAGTTACCAGCACGGTGATGCCAATATCAATCCACCAATTATTAAAGGGATTGACAGGATATTTTATACATGAGCCGAACAGGATCAATGCTACTGAATTTGGTGATCCAATGATTTATCTAGCACTGCCATCAGGTTGAACTTTTTGGTAAAGTATTTCATGCTCCCTTCGGGTCTGAAACAACTGGTGATCCCTTACATTTTCACCCAGCACCACCATCAGGTCAAGTTTTTACTTTTTTCTATGACCAAATACTTGCAGTTTGTGTGGGATTCCTATAAGTAACACATGTTAGCATGCTAACAGGCTAAGCTAAGATGGTGAACGGGCTAAACCACAAACCTGCAAAACAGCAGCATCACTGCATGGCAGCACATCCTGAGTGTTCTTTCTGTCAAACATTGTTATTGTTCATTAGTTGCGGTCTGTACTTAAATAAAATATGCTTTTTCTTTTTAAAAATTGTACATAACTTCAGCTTTTGAGTTGAATGCTAAGGTTTGTATGTTAGTGTAATATGCCATTATTCAGCATTTTTTATATGCTGTATAAGCATTTCTTTAAAATGATAGACTGTAATTTATTTATTGCTTTTAGAGGAAGTGTTGGACCTGAGGAAATGTTGACCTGCAGGTGGCACTACATGTAAAGTAAGCTAAGGATTGCCAATGTCATTGGGATTCGTCCTCTTTAAATGACAGCTGTTATTGGAAATCTGTGTACATTGTTAAATGATCATCCCTTGAGCCTTGCTGCAACAGAGTAGTTAAACATTTGAAGATAATAACTAATATCATACTAGAAAAACCTATGTCTTACTGACTGGCTTACCACACGTCCTTAAAATGACCTTTTACACTTTAGGAAACCAGTCACACAGTAACAGGAAGAAAGACCATAACAATATGGTCACTGTTCAAATCACACATATCCAGGGAAAAAGGTTTATCATGATTCTGTCAGCAGATTACGGGAAATGATCATCCTCATCACTTCGTTTGTGCCTTTAGGAGAAAAAAAACAAAGGGTATGAGTCACACAAACAAAACAAGCACATCAACTATCTTAAATAAGAGGAAATCTGTGAGATTACAATCTGATACACATGAAAAACCAGACTAAGGCGACTTAAAAAGGCTCACCCTCGAGGATCTGATGCACTCTGATGTCTCGGACAAACTGCTGCACTGCGTAGTCTTTCAGGTAACCGTACCCACCGTGCATTTGGAGAGCATCGTTGCAGATCTGTGAAATGAATAAAAAGTAAAAAAATGAGTTTTTTTATTGAACAATTCCTCTAGTATTACTGAGTGTTACTTACATTAAAACACTCGTCTGTGGCGAAGAGTTTGGCCATAGAGCAGAGAGAAACGGCATCAGACCGGTTCTCCTGCAGCGCTGTGGCAGCTTCACGCACCATGAGGCGGGATGCAACCAGCTTGGTGGCCATTTCTGCCAGTTTGAATTGAAGATACTGCACAAATGAAAAAACACAGGGTGAAACACAGTGGAAAATTCAAGACAAACTTGTTATCACTGGCAGGAATGTGACCTAATACTGTGGATGGATTGTACGATGTGAGGGTCTAAGGATAGAGGGTGTCGTTTTTTCTCATACTGATATTCTGAACAATCTGTGTTGTTGCATTAGCTGTAAAGTGTCTCTACTGTAGGCTATTTTTATTATATGTACAGCACTTTGGCTCGACCAAAAATCGTTTATAAATGTGCTATATAAATAAAACTTGATTTTATTTGGATGAGGGATCTTCTAACCTGGTTGTTGGAGAGTGTCTCTCCAAACTGCTTGCGTACTAACAGATGATCCCTCGCGAGCTGAACCGAGGCATGTGCCGCCCCAAGAGAACAGGAGGCTGTTGGAAGAGTTTATATGGAAACTGTAGATTAAGAAGCTGCTGTTAAGATAACAGAAAAAAAGTGTTTAGAGTTTGCTTCCATTTGACTATTGATTTTCTTTTTAAGGAATACGGTGTTATTTCTTCTTGGAAAAGTGTAATAATCTTGAATTAAAGCCAACCACCAAGAATCTCCACTTTTTTTTTAAACCTTATGCAGAAAATTTGTTTTTGGACCTTTGCATTTCAAATATCAAGATGATTACTGTCATTTTATCTAGCTATGGGTATACATTACATATTTGGGCATCACTACACACTGGTAACTACTGTACTTTGATAGTGTTCTCCTCCTCACCAATATTAATTCTTCCTCCATTCAGGCCTCTCATGGCCATGTTGAATCCTTGTCCTTCCTCACCCAGCCGATTGATCACTGGAACGGCACAATCCTCAAATATCACCGCCCGGGTCGGCTGGGAGTTCCAACCCACCTGAGAGCAGCGAGTAGAACGGTTACTGTGACTGACTCCTGCCCTCTAGTGGCTACCAGCAAACACTCCAGAGCAAAATCATTAAAGTCAGCAATCAAAGGACTTTACCTTTTTTTCCTTTTTGCCAAAACTGAGGCCTGGGGTTCCTTTCTCTACCACTAGACAAGAGATGCCTTTAGGTCCTTTACCTCCTGTTCTGCACATCACAATATAGACGTCTGTGTCTCCCCCACCACTGATGAAGGCCTGAAAGTCAGACATGTCTCTTGCTTACTGCTTTGCTTTTTAGACAAAACATTTAACCATTATGAAGGCCTAAACACCAGATAGGGAATAGGCAGCTGTGGAATTACCTTCGAACCATTGACGATGTAATGGTCCCCTTTCAGCTGAGCAGTGGTCAGAAGTGAAGCAGCATCACTGCCGCTGCCTGAAGTCAAAGATCACAGGTTTATTGTGATGATAACTGACACATTTCTAAATATACTTTGTTTTGTACATAATATACAATGGACTGACCTGGTTCAGTGAGACAATACGAAGCAAACTTGTCCATCAAACAGAGATCAGGACAGAACCTCTCCCTCTGCTCATTATTGCCAAAAGTGTCTATCATCCAGGCACACATGCTGCAAAGAAAACAGCTTGGATTGAATTGGGAGGCAAATACATGAAATTAATCTGGGAAAAAAGTCTAATTGATTTGTTTTGAGATGATGTAATGATTCTCAGTTCTGATAATTTACCAAACAAAAGTGTCCTTTAAGTTACAACACTTTCTATTGAGTCAGTAAATGTGGTTATTTGGACCCAAAACAACCAGCCTCAAGTCAACCTTTGTCCTCCTTACATTATACACACAAATAAGTCAACGTTTTCTTAATTACAGGTCTAAGTAATGTATGGCATAAGGGGGGGTTTTTACTTGTGGATGCTGATGTAAGCTGTAGTGCTGACACATCCTGTGGACAAGGCCTCAAAGATGATCGATGTGTCCAGCCGAGAAAGACCCGATCCTCCGACTTCCGGCTGGACGTAGATCCCACCAAACCCCAACTGGGCTGCCTTTCGCATCGTCTCTACTGGAAAGATTTCCTGGGGGGGAAATAAATAATACCCATAAATGTTTATGTTAAATTATAACTGTGCACATTGGAAAAATAATTATCTGTTACATCATGTATTTGCATTGGATTAAACAATATTTTTGGCAGTAAAAGAAAAGCTGCTGAGACATGCAGGTTCTCCAGTTAGGTATGAGCTGAAGTCACTTTTAAAAGGCGAAAAATTCCAGAAAGACAGTAATGAGAGCTCAATTTTAGGATTGTCTCCATATGTAAACCAGATAGTTTACAGGTGGGATATTTCACCAAGAGTTTCCTGTGGGATGGTCAAGTGTTATGCCTTGACATCAGCTGACTAATAGACTGTATGGCTTTCTCAAACATACCTTTTGGTCCCACTCTGACATGTGTGGAGCCATTTCATTGGTCGCAAAGTCAAAGGCCATTTTTTGAAATTCCTTCTGTTCATCTGTGAGTCCATGAGAAGCTGTCAACAAAGAGCAGAGAGTGGGGCAAAAAAGTATTTAGTCAGCCACCAATTGTGCAAGTTCTCCCACTTAAAAAGACGAGAGGCCTGTAATTTTCATCCTAGGTATACCTCAACTATGAGAGACAAAATGTGAAGAAAAAAAAAATCCAGAACATCACATTGTCTGATTGAAGAAGTTATTTGCAAATTATGGTGGAAAATAAGTATTTGGTCAATAACAAAAGTTCATCTCAATACTTTGTTATATACCCTTTGTTGGCAATGACAGAGGTCAAAGGTTTTCACACACTGTTGCTGGTATTTTGGCCCATTCCTCCATGCAGATCTCCTCTAGAGCAGTGATGTTTTGGGGCTGTCGCTGGGCAACACGGACTTTCAACTCCCTCCAAAGATTTTCTATGGGGTTGAGATCTGGAGACTGGCTAGGCCACTCCAGGACCTTGAAATGCTTCTTACGAAGCCACTCCTTCGTTGCCCGGGCGGTGTGTTTGGGATCATTGTCATGCTGAAAGACCCAGCCACGTTTCATCTTCAATGCCCTTGCTGATGGAAGGAGGTTGTCACTCAAAATCTCCCGATACATGGCCCCATTCATTCTTTCCTTTACACGGATCAGTCGTCCTGGTCCCTTTGCAGAAACACAGCCCCAAAGCATGATGTTTCCACCCCCATGTTTCACAGTAGGTATGGTGTTCTTTGGATGTAACTCAGCATTCTTTCTCCTCCAAACACGTCTAGTTGAGTTTTTACCAAAAAGTTCTATTTTGGTTTCATCTGACCATATGACATTCTCCCAATCCTCTTCTGGATCATCTAAATGCTCTCTATCAAACTTCAGACGGGCCTGGACATGTACTGGCTTAAGCAGGGGGACACGTCTGGCACTGCAGGATTTGAGTCCCTGGCGGCGTAGTGTGTTACTGATGGTAGCCTTTGTTACTTTGGTCCCAGCTCTCTGCAGGTCATTGACTAGGTCCCCCCGTGTGGTTCTGGGATTTTTGCTCACCGTTCTTGTGATCATTTTGACCCCACGGGGTGAGATCTTGCGTGGAGCCCCAGATCGAGGGAGATTATCAGTGGTCTTGTAGGTCTTCCATTTTCTAATAATTGCTCTCAGTGGATTTCTTCACACGAAGCTGCTTACCTATTGCAGATTCAGTCTTCCCAGCCTGGTGCAGGTCTACGATTTTGTTTCTGGTGTCCTTTGACAGCTCTTTGGTCTTGGCCATAGTGGAGTTTGGAGTGTGACTGTTTGAGGTTGTGGACAGGTGTCTTTTATACTGATAACGAGTTCAAACAGGTGCCATTAATACAGTTAACAAGTGGAGGACAGAGGAGGCTCTTAAGGAAGAAGTTACAGGTCTGTGAGAGCCAGAAATCTTGCTTGTTTGTAGGTGACCAAATACTTATTTTACCAATTAATTCATTAAAAATCCTACAATGTGATTTCCTGGATTATTTCCCCCCATTCTGTCTCTCATAGTTGAAGTGTACCTAGGATGAAAATTACAGGCCTCTCATCTTTTTAAGTGGGAGAACTTGCACAATTGGTGGCTGACTAAATACTTTTTTGCACCACTGTATATATACCATGGTGATCAATATGGAAGGGAAAATATTCCATCATGCACAAATACGGGAGTATTATGTGTGGGCTTTTTGTATTACATGATAAAGGTAACATAATATATTTTACACTTCAACTGTCGTGTATATCTTCAAGCAGCATAGGATGCAGCAATAAGAAAGCATTGGAAACTAGCAAATTCCCTGACAAGACCTGTCTAGGAGTGGGGCGGTGCAAAACTAACCAATGACAGCTAGGTACCGGTAACTGTAACATTAAAGCCCTGAATGGGATGTGTGATTTTACTTTAATGTGTTTTATTCACAGTCAATAATAAACACCGGTCTGGTAGCTAACGAAGTTCAGTGCCATTCAGGCTTTCTTTCACAATAACACACAGTTTGCTCACAGTTTTACTTGTCTGGGACTTACGGTCGACACAAGAAGCTATTCCTCGTCTCTGTGTGCTTCTGTTAAAAGATAAACGATGGTTCCTGCAGATGCTGGAGCTCAATCTGGCAATCCTTGCTAGAGGTCCGACGGTCGCCATGTTTACCTCCACAATGTTATGGGATGTGTTCGTTATGTCACTCTGCCGCTTCTTCTTCTGGAGCTTTAAAGGCGGAAGTCATTCAGCGTTTAAAGCGCAATACCGCCATCTTTGGGGTGCGGGTAACATATTATTCCTGTTTTTCTCTGATAAAATCACATACAATTATACTGATGCTCACATCTGCTGAGAAATATAGTTTCATGTCGCTCGTGAAAGTGTTCATTAGTTGCTCCCTTTGAGGAACTTTGGAGGGTAAGGACTCCAAAGGACATCTATCTCTTACAACACAAACGGGAGAAGCTGGCAATAAATGAAGTGCACCAATACGTTTGTTGACGTCACGTGCTGCTGCTTTCACCGCGGGTTTTGATGGTTGACTGCTTACCGCTGCTTACCTGGAACATTGCTCAGCTACAGGTATGATTTATCAGTGTTTAATCAGAGATGTTGCACTACTGACAGAGCTGCATTATAATCTGTATTACTTTCAAATGCCTGGCGCGTTTAGTTTACACGTGTTGCCAATAGTTCTTGAAGCTAGCTAGTCTCTGCCATCCATGTACGGGTGAAGTTAGTTTTACATTGGGAATTCACTATGTATTCTACATTCCGAGCCCTCTTTCTTTACTGCAGGTATTCCCTTAGAGTCCAGTCCACCATTAAAGTACTGTTTCAATGACACAACACCAATATTATGTTCAGTGCTTCCGTTCCAACTTGCTTATATTAGTGAACATTATGGGTAAAAATATAGTAACTGTGTTATATGGCACACCGTTTTTCCATTACTTACCAATAGCTTCCATGAAACCCAAATATTATTACCACATTGGACAAAAAACTTTGAACTTAATGCTTCTTCTATTATATTATATAAGTTTTTTTTTTTTTAGGAGAGTTTTTTTCCAATACTTTCCATGTAGTGCGACTCCAGACCAATGCATGCTTATGCAAATACAGTGGACAAGTAGTACAAACCTCTTTTTATTAGGTTTTAGTGCATCTTTTATCAAATCCGAAGCTTTTTAAATGGAAAACTCTTGGATATTTTCAACTGCTTCGATATCATGTTATTGACTAAATTGAGGATTGAACAACGTTTGAAGATTAGTGTCTGTTTACAGGATCGTTGTGTGTTTTCTACTTTAAATAATTAGTGGTTCAAAAACTTAGCAGTTGTTTTATAAGACTCTAAAAATGGGACCAAAATCCAATAAAAAAAAAAAAGTATTCATCATCCCTAAGCAAAGGGTTTAGTTGTGAGCCAACCATACTTTGAATGTTGTCACTGTGAAACTGAATAAAAAGATCAGAGTATTTTTTATAACTGTCTTTAAATATCCAAACTAAATCAAACTTTACCACAGATCCCTTACATTCATACAAAACACTATGCACAGCTATGGTATACAAATTGTAAGAATGTTAGAAAACGTGATGCTATTGTTAAGGCATATTGTATTGTCATATCAACCCTGTTATGGACGCTGCTCTATGTTTGAAACCTGTGTCTTTATAGACAGTGAGAGATGCCACCAAAGACGAGGTCCAGAGTGAGTAAAAGAACAGCAGATTCAGGTAAGCAAAGGAAGTGGGAGTCAAACTTATTTTCTGGTACATTATTTTTTAATGATTGACAATTATTGCTGCAACAATAGGCAAAGTCAATGAGGACGAAATGGTTGGAGGCAAGAAGAAAGCTGCAGCTTCTGTTGAGCCGTTAAAAACTAAAGAGAGCTCAGAACCTCCGCAGTACAGTCGCTGGCTGATGAAATCTGAGCCCGAGAGCCGCTTTGAGAAGGAGATTGACCTGAAGGTACAGAGCCTCATCAGCACAGCCTGTTTTCCTAAAAATGTGAGTGGGCTGCACTCCTTTGATGCTTGTTGTTTCATCCTTCAGTTTGGGATCGAGGAACTGAAGGCTTTGCCTGATCAGACTGGCTGCTGGGACGGAGTGCGCAATTATCAGGTAAATCCACACAACTGGCTACCGCTATGAAAAGCTGTTTACCTGAAATAACACACCAATCTATAAAGTATTTTTGATATTTTTTTGATTTTATTCTTCTCTCTGTTCATGGACTTTTCCGTCATCTGCAGGCACGCAACTTTATGAGGCAGATGAAAGACGGGCAGTTGGCTTTCTTTTATCACAGCAACTGCAAGGAGCCGGGGATAGCAGGAATCATGAAAGTAAGTCACTCTCTCCCCCTTCTGATTATATTATAATGATTTAAACAAACCTACAAACATGATATTTAGCTGGATTTATCTTTTCTAGATTGTAAAGGAAGCTTATGTGGACCACACTCAGTTTGACAAGAAAGATATCCATTTTGATGCTAACAGTAAAGCAGACAACCCCAAATGGAGCATGGTAAACCCCCATTTAAGAAGGAAACAATATACATTCATAAAATAATTGAACATAAAGGTTAACCTTGTTTTCTTCTCTTTTAGGTAGACGTCCAATATCAAAGAATGGTAAAGCGTTATATTCCTCTGTCTGAGCTGAAGAAGTACCACCTGCAGCACCGAGCCAAGGGAGGGCCTCTGAAGGACGTGGGACTTTTCACCAGAGCCAGGCTCTCTGTGCAGCCCCTAACCACTGGTAAGTGAATGCATCTTTCAGTGTGCATTGGGCTGCTTATGAACCCTCATTCTGCTTTTTCTCTGCAGAGGAGTTTGAGTTTATCCTGACTTTGGAGGATACGGAGCCTTTGTGAGGATTTGGACCAGATGATGTGAGGATGCAGTGAAATCATGAAGCAGCATAAACATACATCTCTTTTGTTCTGAAGTAATAAATGTGTTGTTGTCAGATGATGGCTTTTATCGAGATTGTAGCGAAACCTCTGGGTGATACTTGCTTAGACACAGCCTTTGAATTGAAAGAAAACAGCAGCAGTATATAAGCTTGTAATGTTTCTTAGGGTTGCCCTTTGCTCACAGAAGGGGTCCAAGCCTTCTTGTATTGCCATTATTCAATTTGTGTATAGAAGCAAAGTTTTATTTCACAGTCTGCACTATGGTCCATCATTTCCCACCCTGTCTGTTAAGGTTTATCATGTCGCAAACACTTCAATTCCTGGAAAACAACAAAGTCTGAGATCTGTTTTTTCTTCCATTTGGCATCAGTTTATTTCACTTCAGGGACAAGGAATACTTGATTAGCATTTTGCAAAAGACAGATAGTTCTACTGTAACTCTTTCTCTGGTTAAAAGACTAAACTTATGTTAAAGAGGCAGGAGGATTTCATTTGCTTGGTACACATAGGCACAACTTTCAAGTCTAATGAAGATGTTACAGAGGATTTAATACTATCAGACCTTAATACAAACACTCTTTCCTAACACCACTGGAATGCTGACGCAAAGCACATGAATGGTCACTCTGTGGCACCGTGTAATGTATAATCAAAGTACACAAGCTGGAACAGGATAAAAGGTTTTAGCTGGTCGTATTTACAAATCAAGACAAATGTGTTCAGCAAGATAAAGCAGTGCAAAGTTATCTCAGATTTCTTGACCTTATAACAGTGTTAGGAATGCATTTATTAAAAGGTGGAATGTTGGAGATACATTTCAGAAAATGCATGAAAAATTCAGTTGCATTGATTAAGAGATTAGAAATGAGTTTACTCAAAAAAGCATTATTTAACGTAACAGACAGCTTAAAAATGCCATAATATCACATGAAAGGTTTTAACAGTGGATATTGCAACAGATGATTAGTTTGATTCCCATAAAGAAAAGAAAAATGCATTATTGAAGGACAAGACCAGCAGCCCGAAGCTGCTTCAAATGCCTCATGCAAACTGTTTCATTGTTCACATACTGCATGTGTTACTGTATGTCGGTCTCCCTTCACTAGCAGCGGCTACTAATAAAACGGCTGCTTCACCAGGTGTAGTATAGTTGACGGCAACCTCCGAGTCTAGTGGACGAAGACTGGAGGTCTGCGGCCCCCTACCCGCTCTCCTCCCTCGCAGCCTGCTCCAGAGCGCTCTCCGAGGCGGCCGAGCCCTCGAACCTCTGAGAGGCGATGGCCGCCTGATGGGACATGCTCTTCCTCACCACGTCACCCTTCCTCCACAGTGTGATTTCCTGCATAGGTTAGGGGAGCACAGGGTTTTGGATGTTTTTCAGTTAATATTACATTTCAATGTTTATTGACTCCTTATCCATAGAAAGGTAAAAACAATGTCAGTAATCCTCGTGTTGCTCTCATCAGTGATTTGACTTTATTTTATCATATTATTATTTACATGTGTCTATCTACTGTCAACACACATGCCATTATTAACTAGAGTGGATTACTGTTATCTAGTCAGTGTTGTATATTTAAAACAATTGAATTGATCTATTAAACTTTTTGTGATTTGCTATACATTAAATAAATAACACATGTACAATGTATAGCTAAATGAAATGCTATACTGACTACGATTGTGTGTAAACAAAAAATAAGAACAATTTTAAAGCAAAAAAAACAAGTAGCACTTCTTCACAGCTAAAATGAATTCTTTAAAATTGCTACTTTACTCAAGCAACAGACCAAAACTAACATATTTCATATAAAACAGAACAGCAGCAGGAACAAGACATGTTTCTCTTTGGCTTGACAAACAACCCAAATGACACATCTTTGACAATCAATTTACAGTTTTCGCAACTATTACTGTTTTTGCAGTAAGTATACAAACATCTACCTGTTGTGCTATTTTGTGCAGACAGAACGTGATACATTTAATGTGCTGACAGACATTAATCAAACCTCAAGATTCAATGTGTCCTCCTTATGTGGCTGAGATCTAACCCTAAATGTATTTTTTCCTAACAACCTAATAACCTAAGACTACATACTCAGCTTCTTACAAGTAGTATGTACAGCAGTATAATTGGGACACAGCTAGTATTTTCCAAGAATGCTTTTTATATTCTTTAGAAGTAGGCATTATTGAAATTATTATGAAACATCAGAAACCTACCTGCTGTTTGAAGTAGCGTCTCTCCTCCTCGTCGATCAGCACCAGGTTCAGGTAGTAGCGCACAGAGAACTTCTTGTTGATGTCTCGCATCGTGGGAGTCAGATCATAACCAGCCAGAAATAACCGGATGGGAATGGACTCTCCTGAAATACGAAATACATTGTTAGAGCAGGTTGGATAATATGAATATTCACTTTAGTAAAATGACTAATAAGTGCCGTTTACCTCTGACCGGAGCACCGTCCATGATCTCGTATTTGGCGATGGTGTCGTTCTCGTGGTACACACTGGGGCCAGTGCCTGTTGTCTCACGCTTGATGATGTCAATCTCCATGTGCTTAATCTTAATCCTCACCAGCAGGAAATAGATCTTCCCCACAATTACATCTTTCAGATGGTACCTACAGTAGGGGTCAAAAGAAGACAAGCAGAAATTAGACAGAGGGCGCTTAATAACAAGTAGTTTAGTAACTGCGTACTAACGTTTGCTTTAAACACTTGGCCTCTGGAACTTGCAATCTGCTAAAAGTTTATAGACAAAGCAAATAGTTAATTCAATATATTAGGAATAATGAAAATAATAGTTAGTTGCAGCCCTAAACTCCATGACTGATGTGGTTATACACTCTGAAACACACTAAACCACTATTGTACACTCTTACACTTGTGTTTGCTGAAAGCCATTTAGGAACACTGTGTTTATTTTGTCTTCCGAGTGTGGGATTATTTTCTGAACTGAATTTGCAATGATTTCAAACTTTGGGTTTAAAAATGTTCTTTCTAGAAAAGACACTTAATATAAACAAAAACGTTAAACTTAAAAGTCGGTTCATGTAAATAAATGGCAACAGATTATTCAGTAATGGTGTGTTTCATCCCTATAATTCTTACTTGGATTTGTTGTACTCAAACTCAATGTGCAGACAGTCCTCAATGCCAACTTCCATTTTAATGGAGGAGTTGAGTTCAGGGTAGGTGCTCAGTGTGTGGACCACAATGTCCATCTCTTTACTGATGTCATTTAGTCGTCTGGTCACTGTGGCACGAAGAAAATATCTGAACATGGAAAACACAAAGCCTTTAAACAATACTGTTCCACATATAACCAATCATTTCTGAGGAACAATACACTTAGACAACACCAGAGGCCTGTACTACGAAGCAGGATTTTCGCTTAGCCGGCTAAATTCAGGGAAAACTCCGGCTTTCCGGTCCTACGAAGCTGGATATCTTTTTAGCAGGCTAGATCTCCATGGTAACTTATGCTTTGCGGCTAACCTGGTCGGGACCAGGTTAGGTTGCAGGCTAAGAGCTCAACTCAGTGAAAGCACTGCCTGCTGACCAATCAGAGCTCAGTGTGCGGAGTTTAAAGCGATCAAGTCATATTACAGGAGAAACTGCCGTCGCAGGAAAGACGGCCGGCAAAAATCACCGACTGTGTGAACGTGAACATTAATAGAATATCACCTCCATCTTCAGAGTAATCTGACTATTATAACATTAGCGTTAAGAAAGCTTACTTAAATATCTGCCACAACATAAGTAACCGGATCAAAGTAACATTAAGTACAGTCCGCGGCATATCACATCATAATGTATCATATATTTCCTTATCTGAGTCAGCTGAGCCGTATCTGGCCGTGCAACACTCACAGTGTCACATACTGTATGCAGAAGTATTATTTTAAGCAACACATTAAGTTGACGAAACACTCGAGTCAAATGTAATTAAAGTCAGATCGTGTTTTAGACGGGGCAGTGATATCATAAACCTGTTAATGTACGCATTCAAACACTTTTTCTTTTACCAGCTGTATTCACCTTGCAGGTGCAGCTCTGTGGCTTTTATCCTGGATAAAGTGTTTAAGTCATGGATGTTTAAAGTTTATCTTCTTCATTTTTGACTAGTATTAAAGTTCACTTTTCATTCAGGAAGTATGATGCGCTGCGCTGTCAGTACGCTTCTCCATGTTTGCGATTGGTCGAATGCTCCAAATACCACCCCTTTCATGTGAACGCGCACCTAACTAGATAGGGCACGGCTGGCTTGAGCGATCCACTTGATAACCAGCGTCGTAGTACAGTTTAGCGAGAGCGCGTATGTTTTGGATTAGGCCAACCGGCTAACTCAAACATATCCAGGTTAGGTTGAACCAGCTTCGTAGTACAGGCCCCAGGTGTTAGTTCAAATGCTCTGTTTGCATATGAAAGGTTAGAGAGTGACACTTACAATCATCCATTACAGCCTATAAACCAGAGTCAATCATCAAACACACCTTAGTTTGACGTTCTGGCCTGTGTAGGACTCGTACGGTTTTTCCACATGAGTGAACTCAAAGTCGAAGGTTTGCGATTGAGTTATTTCACCCGGTCTTGCAAGATCTTTCACCAGGGAAACAAACTCATGATGGTTTCCTCTGTCGTAATACAGCTCTAGAACAGAAAGAAGTTATCAACAAACACAATATAAGAGAAACAAACTTTAAGATTCATTTACCCCTTACATTGGAAACTTTCAAAAGGCTCTGATGTTGTGATAAGAGTTTTGGGCAGATATGATACAATGGGCCATTTTGTCTTTCTATCTTAATGTTATGTTTGCTGTGATCCTTGCAATTGCCAATTCCCCTTTTTCATTTGTGCCCATGTTGAAATTATTATTCCATCAACAGTTTGAGATTAAACTTCAATATCACCTTCATTTGTTGTTGCATTTTAAGTTATTTATTGGCCCCTATCTATAATGTTCTATTGCTTGGAGATATTGTTGGGAGGGTGTTGCTATATTTCTGTCACAGTCATGGCAAAGGTCCAAGGATCATATTGATGATGCCAGAGAGGGCCTGGCCCCAGCTTCTGCCTCTCATACCAGTCTTAAGGATAAGCGTGCAACATTTGTAAAACCCAGAAGATTATTAAACATAATCCATTCATTTTTCTAGCTATTCTGCTAGCTAAACAATAAAATAAGAGTTTACACAAGTTAGTAGCATATGTCTTGCGTTTAACAAAAAAAGTTGGTTAGAACAGTCTTCTGGACATATCTTTAGTAAAGTGGTAGTTGTAATTAAAATACGTTCCCCATGTTTTAACTTTGTGTTTCGGATGCTAAGCTCTGTGACTCTAATGTTATGATGATTGACAACTTGAAAAACACAACTCTTAACAACATCTAAAAGTTAGCTAACCCTATTACACAGAAACAGTTCATTTTTATAACTACATGCATAAAGAGATAAGCAATGTGTATTCATATGTCATTGAAATGCTGTTCAGTTTCCACTCCCCATAACAATAATGTGTACTCTCCTTACTTCCTAATCTAAATGCTTTTTATATTTATATTCCATAACATGGGTGTTGCCACAGGATTGACTGTGTTGTTTACATGAACTGTATGAAATCATTGGTCAAAATATGTATACAAATATCTTAGTTTTTTTTAACCTACCTATTTGGCCAACAAATTCAATTTTGATGCCCTGGTGCTCCAGCCTCTTTCCGGGGTTCTTCAGTGTCACATTCACCTTTCCACTGACAGTCTCGCCATCATAGAAAAGAAAGTATTTATCTTTCTTTCCATCTTCACTTTTGTGTTCAGCTTTCTTCCGCGTTTCAGCGTCATTCAGGACAACATCTATTTCTGCACTTTGCCCAAAACTAAAGAAACTCATCTTGCTTATCGTAACGCCTTGTTAGCAAACTAATACAAAAACCCTTCCAATGTTTTGAACTAGAAAAACACCAAACACACAATAAGGCCTGTGTGCGACCTCAGTTCCCTATCGGAGCACAAAACACACTATTCAACATGGAAAAAGTCGACGATATTTGACAGAAAACTCCACCTTAGCTACATGTCCATACCGACGAAGCAAAATAGCAATACGACGGTACAAGGAAAACGCACAATAACACGTCCATCAGCAAATTAGCCGCTTCCCTTTTTCTTCTGTTGACCTGAATATCTTCAGTGCACGGTCCACATAGGCCACACACTAGTCTGCTCCGTAGTGATGGCAAGTTTCGCGGTGTGAATGTTATATTACATGTTTGTTTTCTGTAAGAAAATACGTTGAATGTTGTCAAATGATCAGGATGTACGCCACCTGCATTAGGTTAACTACTTCCGGGTGGATGTTTTTCAAAATAAAACCTAATGATGGTTTCTGAAACCGGAAATAAGGCCTTCTATATATTATTATATGTATTATAAATGCATTGTTAGTGGTGAAAAAATAAGTATTCAGACCCGTTTTGTTAATAAAAGTAGCAGTCCCACACTGAAAGTCATAAATTCATATTGTTTAACTTTAACTTTTTTGAGTACATATGTTTACCTCTAATAAGACACACTGTAATAACAACGTTTCTGTGCATTCATTTATTGTGAATACATGTTTTCATATTTCTATATGGAGACTATGTATATAAAGCCATGGACCTATATCCTCTACCATGAACATGACATGTTACATTAATATCTTCTCATCTGTCTATTACATTGCATATTTGTTTAAAGCGCATGCTGTTTACCTTAACACTATCCTTGGACAATTAGTTCATTTCTCTGCCAATTGCAACTCAAAAAACTGCACAGCTCTTTCATTTTAATTCAGATAATTGTATATATTTGTATAGTGTGGCCATTTTCTTGATTATTGTGATTGCTTCATTTCTTTTCTCATTCTATGTTTACATCATGCACTAACACAGCAAAGCAAATTATTTGTATGTGAATAAAACAGAAACCTACTTGGCAACATATTTCTGTCTCTTTACATTTGACGAACTACTTTATTCTTTCATTAGCCTTTTTCAAATAGTTGGATGTTGGTAATATGTTCCCCTATGTTTTTCTTGACACCCGCCAATGTATGAATGTTTCTTAGCTTTCTCAAAATCAATTTGACAATATGCATGAAACATTTGAGTCTTCACAACATGTATGGTTCAAATGTATTTAATAGTACCAAAATAACATGAACATAAAGCATTAATAACAACAAAAAACAGTGGACATTATACAACATTTCCTGAGTTGTTACACAAATCATTGACACTAATGTTTGAAATGACAGGCTCAACACTGTTAACACGCTGAATAGTAAATACTGTAAATGTATTTCCAACAAACAGTTTTGATGCAGTATTTACAATAAGGTATGGAGTGCAATGTATTCAAATCAAAAGAAAATGTATGCATTTATTTACATTAAATACTGAGTCAAAACTGGACAATATGTCCAATACTCAACCAAATAATTAGTAAAGCACAGAAGGTCACTTATACACAGAAACAGCACTCCATAAATCATACTTCACCACCTTTATAGTACATATTGACTTTGCAGCATACTGGGATATATGGTATTCAAACTCACGGGTTACTATGTACTTGTTTAACTTGTTATCATCTGTGAATATAAGAAAGGCTGATAAATTGTGCCTTCTGAATTTGATCTTATCAGCCTTTTACAGTCTGCTGCCTATTGCCTGTATAACGACAGTATATACAAAAAAAGGTTTCACCTCTTCCCAACGTGAAGTAAACGTAACAGATTTATCTTAAGAACAAAGATAATGTAAAGGAGTTTGTTGTGTTTATTGTAAAACAATTTCTATGTACTCAGTAAAAAGTTTAAGAATTATAAAATAGGATTTGTTCCAAAAACTGTGAAGGAATGTAGCTCCCAGCTACTTCTGCGATGACACCGTGGGCCAATTATCAAACTCCACAAAGTTGCAAATGTGTCAAAAATAAACTAAACTAGTAAAAAACTAAGCTTTTAAATCAGACAGAGACGAAAATAAAAAATGCTACCCAATTATAAAAAACAAGAAGTAGGGCAACAAAATGATATTATAATACTTTGGCAATCAGTTGACTTGGATTTGATGTGCATTAGAGAATAATGTGCCATTTCACACCTCAAACTTTACCATCTGGAGCATCGTTGGAGCAAGCTAACCTCGACAGTTGTACTTAAGTCCTGCTTCCTCCGTCTCAGCCGTCAAATTATGAATGAAGACTTGTGGCGAAAATGGCCCTGTGAAGAACAGTAATTATAAATTGAGTATGCACAACTGATCCTGAGAGTATCATTTGCTGTGTTTGTTCTGTATACCTCATCTGCATCGCCATATTCAACACCCTCGTTCTGTGCTGGCCAATTGTAGCTAAAATAAAGAGGATAAAAACACATAATAAAATAGCACATTCTTAACGTATTGTGGCATTAAAGACAGAATAACATATTGCCTCTTTCCTTCTTCAAAGTTTACACTCACTTTTCGTTATGCCCTTTATTAGAGAAGCATCCACGCTTTAGGGAATGACAAATGGTGCCAGCCAAACCGAAGAAAACGACCACTCCACCAAAGGACTTGAGGAAAATCCCCAGGATGTCGACGTCATCTGAAAGAGGACACAGAGTTAAGTTGCCGAAGATGTGTCAACTATTATGATCTGTGTTCCTGTAAATGTTGTTTACATGTATTTAACACGGTGCTGGAAGCTATCGGACCTTTGCTGCTGATCCCTAGAAAACTTCAAATAAACTCTGATATCTTGTGTTGGATTGAAAATAGTGACGTTTAGACACTCACAGACTTCCATCATTTGTGAGGGACACTGTGCATATCCGGCATCATTCTTCGCCTGGCAGTAGTACTCCCCTGCGTCCTCCTTTTTCACTATTCGAAATTTCTAAAAAGACAATTTCAGCATTTTTTCAGCGCAATGACAGACAGCTGCATTGTCAACACATTTCTACTGTTCCTTTGGCTGAGGATACATTTTTATGATATTTTGTAAACACTTGCTAGTCTTACATATCGGGTTGTTACATTACATTTTATACATGTTTGTACATTTTATGATGGTCAGTTACATGCTTGTTATTTTATTATGTCTTTGAAGTAAACACATAACCTCAGCTTGGGATGCAATATTATCTTTCTTTCATTTGCCAGTTTTAGGTTTAGTTTCCACTCTGGCTTTCTTTTCATGCATGGAGTAATCCTGCCATTAGTCATACGATGGGTAAGGTTTTATTCAGATTAAGCTTTTCACATTTACATTAGATAAGCTTCCATTTATCCCTGATACTAAAGAGTCCCATCCACAAATAGAATATTAAAAAAAAAACTTGAAACTACTTGTTCAACACTGAACTTACATAGATACTATTAAAGAGATGGTTCTAATATTGTAGTGAACGTAATGTTAAATATTGCTAATCTTAATCCCTGTGTTTCTCACCAGGCCTCCAGTGTCAGGGTTGATGCTATAGGAAGTGTTGACCGGCTTGGGGGTGTTTTTGGGGTCCTGAGCGAGCTCCTCGTTGTTGTGGAACCAGCGGTACAGAGGAGCGGGGAAGCCCTCGTTCTCCAGGCATCGCAGTTCGGTGGATGTTCCAACTGTGACCGCCTCAGGCACGCTGCAGCGCGGAACAACAGGTTTCACTGCACACACACACACACACACACACACACACACACACACACACACACACACACACACACACACACACACACACACACACACACACACACACACACACACACACACACACACACACACACACACACATCTATTCATGTAACACTCACTTGAAGCATTAAGTATGTCAAATAATCCTTGCTGATAAGGCACAAGCACTGATCGACTGAATTAGTGGAACATACTGCTGGCTGAAGTTTCATATTTACAAGTTTTCATCTACAGTTGACAAGGAAGCAAATAATCGGTCAAACTGTTCCTTTAAAAAAAACTACAAATGAGATGATGGTTTTAATATAAACACTGAAATGCAATTTTCTGTAAATGTATGAATGTGCAACAAGGTACATTTAGATGTATTGTAAGTCAATAATAGCCCCTTTCAGTGATGTATGGTTCCCGCTCACAATACCTCTCACTGCGAGACTAATCAGTATCTCATCAAAGTCTCTCTGATCTTCGATGGCGGCCACCTCACAGCGGTACTCTGCAGTGTCAGAGCGGGTGGCGTTGAAGATCAGGATGTTGGCTGGCTCTCTGAGCTGAGCTCTCTGGTCCAAGTCCCCTTTTAAAAGAGGGAAAAAACACTTTACAATTGCTCATTCATATACACAGCCTGACTTCACAGTTGGGAAAACAGAATTCAATGCCAAGTTCTTTCAAGGTGCCATTCATTCAGCTTAGCTTGAGTCCTGAGACATTACTTTGAAATGCTGCGGTCGAATGGTGGATGGGTTTTCTTTCAAGCGGTTTACCTGCTATCCTGTTTTGAAAGTATACGTAGCTGGGGACACCGTTCTTAATCTTTTTCCATTCAATCCTCGGGTTGTTTGTTGAGATGGACTCTATTAAACAGGTCAGCTCGATTGCTGTGGGGAAAACAGAATGCATCAGGAAAAGAAAAGCTATTTTCGCTAAATAGGTTAGTGTTTTTTTAGCAACTCACGCTCAAACTCATTCGCCCACACAATCTTGTCCATGGTTCGGAGGATTACCCCGAGTGATGATGGGATGAGACCTGTAGAATAAAAAAAGAAGTCACTTAATGCTGAGTAACCCTGATGGCCCATACATGCGTTTTCATTAGCAGACATTATCAACTGGGCGTGTTGCCTAATAACCAGTGGATTAGAATGATAAATATAGAACCTCTCAGAGAGCTGGAGTAAACATTCTGGTTAAGAAGACAAACACCTGGGGCCAAAATGACTAAGATTTTTTTTTAAATTAAGATTTAAGGCATAAACTGACTCAGGGCTAAATTGGATAACAATTTGGTGGTGATGAAACATGGAAGGAGAGAGCACGTTTTTAATGATGAATCAACGCAATACAAATATGTTGTTGTTTTTTCTTCTTTTCTTGCTTTACTCTTATGAAATTCATATTTAATGAAACCATGGCTAAAGTCAAAGTGCTGACTCTCAGCTTTTACGCTCTTTGACGCACCCTGGAGAGCCAGTGTGGGAGGAATGTTAGACACAGTCTCTACAGTTTGGGAACAATGCAGCAGGAGAATAAGCACCATCATTCAGAAGAGTTTTTAAATGCTGAAGTAAATCATCTGACCCAGTCTAACTGAGCATTTGTTTCAATTTCTGAAGACCAAAGGCAAAAAGCTCCT